AAAACCCAACACTAAACTTCATTACCACTTAGCACTCATGTGGTTAATTAAAAAACATGCTTTGTCCATTATGGATGTGGTCAATCCTACATCCCTCTCTATCATTTACAATGCCCAAATCTTTTCATTCAAGTAATTGCATTTGTCATCATTAGAGGCAATTAAGTCAAAGGCATTAGCAAATAACTAGGTAAACCCCATTGGTGTTAAGTGTCAAAAATAAAACCATGTGTCTACAATTTATTTGACACAACAAGCACAAGGTTCAAAATGCACTCTACAAATCCAATGATCAAAACCAAGTCCCAAAAATGTAGAAGCCGCATGGTGCAAACATAACATAAAGCATAGCATCATAAATCATATACAACAACATGAGTTATAAGGATCCTCTCTCCTCAGCTGCAATGAGTGGACCATTGGACATGGACCCTTATCCATTTTCTGAACAAGGGAAAGAAAAGAAGTTTGGAATCCAAAATTCTAAAGTCACAATTACTTACAGAGAAAACCATCTGCAAGTATCTGCAACTCAAACATGACTTAAAGATGAAGTTGAAATAACATATACAAGATCGTTGGGGTGTTTGTGTTGTTAGTTGTTGGAGTGATTGTGTGGATTTTGGTTGCCAATAGGCATTGAATTGAATTGACTGTGCAGATTACTGGGGTTGCATCAGGTGCACTTTTGAGGAATTTGGGACTGTTTTCGGTGCTACCCTTGTTGACGATTGGCTTGGTTGTATATTATGCACCAATTGTGGTGTACTTGGTTTTGCGAGGTTGAATGGAAAAATTGTGGCTAGAGAATCAAACAGGGAGTACACTTGTGTCTGGAAACAGAAAATAGAGTGCCAGCATATTATACCTTAGCAATTTTGACAATGTTGTGGTCTTTAACTGCAATGGTAGAAGCAGAGGTTTATGTGATCAGTCGAAACTCTACCTATAAGTATTACATGACCATAGAGTATCTACCTAACAATTGTAGACTCACTAAAATACTTTCCTCAACTCGTAAAACAATGCATGTTATCATAGCACTTGACAATAAAATAGAATTGGAAAAAGTAATTAATTAAAATTACAAAGAAACTAGTAATGCAACCAACAATACCTAGTTTATTGGTCCTCCATCTCACATACCCATGATAAATAGAAAATTTAAATCTGTAACACCTTTTTCTTTCCAACATCTCACAGGTAATCAAAATAATCAAATGAAAATTATCAGCAACAGTGTACCTACCATTTGAATTTAGTTCTCTTCCAAGTTAACAACCAATGATAAACAGAAAACATTGACCAAAGGAAGCTATTAAACTGCCCTCTCTGATCTCCACAGAGGGCTGAAATTCCCCCAATGATCTTCTTGAGGAGAGATGAAGAACCCACCACAGCACCGCCCCCCAATCTATAACCCATATTCCAATTCTTACACCTCCTAGGCTACCAAACTAACCAAAAAATGCCAATAACAAGTTAAAAACATACTTATCACTTCCATGCATGCATCCTTCTTCCCTCTGTTGTCTCCAGCTATGTACAAAACAATTACAACCTCAAATACTCAAATCTACACCCTCCATTGGTTCAGACAGACTACAACCTCCCATCCACCAAACCAATCAATGAAGTCTCCAACTCTGCACACTATCCCCAATTTAATTCCATGTACACTTTCTAAACTCCTCCCTAGTTGGCAGAATTTTCCATATATATACCCTTCTTTTCTCTTGTTTCTTCTTCATATTTCATTATTATAAACCACTTTCAAAATGCTTGTAGTATTAGTCTTACTAAATACATGTAATTCACCCTTAGCTCTGATTCCTTGCCACTTTCGTCTCTCCCTCAAAGAATCACATTTTTAACAAATAAAAACAAATGACGTCACTTGCATCCATCAGTTATTTATTGGTTTATATAACAGAAACAAAGATTTAAAAAGAAAACAAATATAAAATAAACCTAGCCATTTGGTTTCCAAAATTAGGAGTTACAACAACTTAACT